GAAAGAAGGAAATGAATGAATGAATGAATGAATGAATGAATAATAACTGTGATTACAATGGACCAGAGATCACAAGTAGGCAGAGAGACAGTCAGAGAGAGAGAGGGAAGCAGGCTCCCTGTCAAGCAGAGAGCCCGATACAGGGCTCGATCCCAGGACCCCGGGATCATGACCTGAGCTGAAGCCAGAGGCTTTAACCCACTGAACCACCCAGGTGCCCCCTTAAACTGGTTCTTAAGCCAAATTTCAAAAAAACAAAAATAATTCTGAGATGAAGGAACATTGCTGGAGTAAATAGTTTTCTAAAATGGCTGTTAATATACATTTAGCAATACAGTGATTGGCATACCTATTTTAAAAATATACTGTTCTGGGGCACCTGGGTGGCTCAGCTCAGTGGGTTAAGCCTCTGCCTTCCACCCAGGTTATGGTATCAGGGTCCTGGGATCAAGTCCCCACATCAGGCTCTCTGCTCAGGGGGAGCCTGCTTCATCCTCTCTCTCTGCCTGCCTCTCTCTGCCTACTTGTGATCTGTCAAATAAATAAATAAAAAATCTTAAAAAAAATATTGTCCTATAGTCATAATACTTGAAACACAATCATAACTTTTGATACTACAATTCCATACCTAGAACCCTATGCCTTGGAAGTACACACATACACATAGGTCTTTGTATAAAGGATGTTCTTTGCAGCCTTATTTGAAATGGGGGGGGGCACTAAATATCTATGCATGGGGAAATAATTTAATAGATGATGAAGATTTGTTCTACTTAATACTACCGTTATCTCTGTGAAGGCTTTTGTCCCATATAATCTGACATAGACCAATCGCCTTTTTCAAACAGTGGAAAAAGTAAATTGCAATGTGTGTCTTTGTGTGTGTATGAGAGAGAACAGGGAATCATCTAGAACTGTACTAATATTGTAGCCACTAGCCACATGTCACTATAGGGCACTTAAAATGTGACTAATCAGAAATGAGATGTGCTCTAAATAAAAAAAATACTTACCGGAGTTTCAGGCATAAAATGGGGGGGAAGGAACTCATTAATGATGTTTAGATTTATTCTACACTAAAATAATACTTTAGATGGTTGAGTTAAAAAATCTATGAAAAATTAATTTCACCTGTTTCTACTTACCTTTTTAAATGTTGCTAAAATTTTTTAAATTACCTATGTGGTTTTCATTATATTTCTACTAGATGGTGTTGGCCAAAAAGAATGAAGCAATAACACTGATTCTTCCTGGGCAGTGGGATTGGGGAGAAATTTTGATAAGGAGGGCAGGGAATAGGGATACTGACCTTTAACCTAAACTCTGTTATAGTTATCAAAAAGCACTTAACTTAAAATTTTAAAAATCAATAACAGAATTCCAAAATCTGTAGTTAATAGTATTATAGCAATGCTAATATCTTAGTTTGGGCAAAGGTACCATGGTTACGTAAGCTGTTAACATTAGAGGACACTGGTGAATGAATATAGGAACTCTGTACTATCATTGCAATTTTTCTGTAAACACTAAAGTATTTTAAAATAACAAGTTAAAAAACAATAATAAGGGAAACAAGCAATCTAACAAGATGTTTGTCTTCCACTTCATAGAGATTCTTACTTACGTCTTAATATACTGTTAAGCTCCAAATTGGCTGTCTAACCCAGAGTGCCCCTTGTAAACATATTTGCTTAAAATAAGGGAGCTAGGATAACGTCCTATTTCTTGGTTTTTACCTGAGATTCTGTTAGTTTGGATGACTCTTTTCTCCCATGGTGATCAGAAGCTATTTGACTGCTGTTTACATAATAGGAATTTTTGTTGAAGTCTGAAGGTTGCCGGAGAGAATGATGGAAGGCACCACTCCCCCGAAAGAACCTTCCAGAGATCCCGTAGCCGGAAGCTTTTAATCTCCTTCCCCTTGGATCCCTACTTTAACTGTCAGATTCAACCAATACTAAGGTCAAGAGATGTTTTTAAGACATAGTGGTGAACTTTGGGATAAAGAAATGAATCAAAAAATCTGCATTATAATATAGCTATAATATATTACAGTATATAGTCTATTTGTTACAATATAACAAAACTGTGGGAAACAACCTTCCCCTCATTTTTACACTTGTTACTTTTTACTGAAGTGTTTTCTGAACAAGAACTAAATTCAGCTGCATTAATCAGTAAGGGCAAATGAAGCTGCACGTAAAATTTAAAACAGATTAGATACAGATGTACAGATTACAGATATTTCAGAGCTGACCAAAAGAAGGTAAACACTGCATTCAAGTAGAAACTATTTCTATTTTACATGAACTAGGTTTACATGAATGAAAGAGTACAAACACAAAATACAGAAATTACAAAGGACACATATCAACTTATCATGAAACATGTTACAAGTATAGAATATAAAACCATAATGAAATATTTTCCAAAGGTGACCCACCTACAAAACAATCACATTAAAATAATGTGCACATTTAAACAGATGTCCCACTGCCACCACAAGGGAAGAGCTTAAATAATCATTAAAACAAACAAACAAACAAACAAACAAAAAAACACCTCACTGCTTTCTCAGGAAAAGGAGAGTTGCACCATAAGCTGAAGGAATTCGAACAATAATTTACAAAAGATTATCACTGCTATGAGTGAATGAGTAAATGAGTGACTTGGAATGACCTCTATAACTGTGGTCACCATTACTGAAGAAATGACACAGAGAATCTACAAGCCTAAAACATTTCTGACTCATATGCTTCTTCGCACAGATTTTCCAGTGAAAACGACTAAAATATGAGCCCTCCTCAAGCTTGTGAACCTTTCAACCAAATAATCCAGCTTTCCTTTTCCCCCACTTCCCAACTGAGTCCCAGAAAAAGATGGTGGAAAAAATCTTAAAAATTGCTGCTCTGGGACATCTATCTATACTTATCTCCAGAAGGATCCAGACTTTCTGAATAGAAACTGGAAACAAAATTGTGTTCAGCTTAATTTTTCAAATTTATATTTAAATGAAAATTAAGTTTAAATGAGAACGGGCATGAGAGGGTACCCAAAAATCCAACTAAGGAGGCATTGACCTGCTTGGAACTTCTGCCTTGGGAATTCCAAATCTAGAAGAAGTGATACGCAGATAAAACACAGTCTTGCTATGTTTTTCAGTCTCAAATGGTCAAGAAGTGCCCCTGTCCCATGGGTCTCCTATGGAAGAGCTGTGGAGGAAAAATGCTGAGATGCTTCTAGGAGCAAGCTACACAATCTTATTACACTGTTTTTAATTAAGTTACCACTTATCTCCCAGGCTCTTTGTAGTAGCCTTGTAGGGGTTTGTTCCCCTTTCTGCCAACTTCCCCCTTCCATATAATTGACATAGAAGAGATTCTACTCTGAAAACCAGGATTTCAGTCCTGGCTTGCTGCCAGCTTTGACCTTAAATCTAGCTTAACCTAGTCTTCATTTCTTTCTATTATCAGGAAGACAGACAAGAAGACAGTGCTATAATGCTTAAATCTAATTTTCTATTACAAAAAAAAATAATTCTGACAATTATAAAAGCACATAAAGGACAAAGTCTGTCACATGACCATTTGCCCCTGTGGGGTAGCCATATTAATTTTGGTGTATTTTTCCAGATTTTTTTAAAGGCAAAAGAAAAAAATGAACATCTATTACATACATTGTTCCAGAATTTTTTTTTCTTTTCCTTACAATATAGTGTTCTCCTCTGACAAGTAATGTAAACTCCATGAGAGCAGGGATTTTGTCTGTTTCCCTTGCTGCCATATTTCTAGGGAGAAGAACAGTGTCTGGCACACAGTAGATACCAGTAAATACTCACTGACTGAATGAATGGAATGAATCCTCCTTACATCAGATCAAATGAGTTCTGTGGGGTCCAGGATAAGTCTGTTTGGTCTCTCTCTACGGTCTCAGCACCAGAACACCTGGCATATAGTAGACATTTAAATATTCATTGAATTAGGAAAAGAGTTCAGCAATGAATTAAGACCACTTAATTCTTTTTAATTGCACCAGTGTGTTGAAATCACAATAACCAACGATTCCCCAGGCGGTGAAAAAAGTCTCTTACAAGTACCGTTGCAATGATCATCCTGGGTACATTACCCTTGTTTAAAGATTTTTGTAGGATAAGAATCTCTTTCTGCTGGGGAAACCATTGAGCTGATCTCAATAGGTTCTGAAATCCCTTCCCTCTAGAATTTTATAACTTTAAAATATTCATGATTAATTCTTAGTCTTGTATGAGAGCTGCTGCCTATCATTTTGCAAAATGATCTCCCTTATATATCTCCCTATAGAAAGCCAGTACTTCCCCAAACTGTCTAAATGCAGCCTAAACATTGTAACTCACACAAGACTGCCAGAAAGACTCCTAGAAACAAACAGGCTGCCTATATCCTTGGTGACCAACATTTTCTGCATACAGCATGGTAGCCGTTTAATTATTACCTGGGGAAGAGCAGTTTTAAGGCAGCAACAGGACTTTATTGTTGATTATTTATGTGCTGAGGAGGCTCAGCAGAAAGGGGGATACAGGGGTGCCTGGATGGTTCAGTTGGTTAAGTATCTGACTCAATTTTAGCTCAGGTCATGATCTTAGAGATCAAGCCCCACATTGGACTCAGTGCCAGGTGTGGAGCCTGCTTCAGATTCCTTCTCTTCCTTTTCCTCTGCCCCGCTCCAGAAAAAAAAAAAAAAAGAAAGAAAGAAAGAGAGAGAGTGAAAGAGAGAGAGAGAAAGAGAGAGGGAGAAGAGAAAGGAAGAGAAAGGGGAAGAGAAGAAAAAGAAAAGAGAAAAAAGAAAGGAAAAGAAAAGAAAAAAGAAAGGAAAAGAAAAGAAAAAGAAAGGGGGACACAGACAAAAGAGTAACAGGCTTCCAAAGGCCTCAGCTGGGGATGATGCTAAGAAACAAACACCACCTGGAACCAGGTAAGGGCAGATATGAGATCTTAGGACTATCTGTGTGCTCTCCAGAAGAGCTCTATATACGCCCTGCAATGGAAAAGACTTTGCAGAAGGCTACCTTTCTTAGGTTTTTTTCACTCCAAAGATGTTTAGTAAATTGCTGTGAGGTGTGAGAGCTTGTCAGGCACTGGGCAGGTAAAAAATAGGCAAAATAAACCAAGTCGCTACCACCTTGAAATTGAAGCTTAAGAACCACAGTCTTTCTCTCAAAGAACTTGATGCTGTTATAGATTGTTGGAGCCCTTTGCCTTCTTTCCACCAGAATGTGTCCCAGTCACTGCTTCTTCTTCTATAAAAACAGAGCTCCAGTTCTCTCCATGAATGGAGAAGTTGCTGGGAGATGTTTCCCGTTGAATGCGCCCCAGACAAAACTTGGCAACACACAGGAGGCACACTTCCTTTTTCTCTGGGAACTCCTGCCACACCACAGGACCTGCTGGGCAGTCCACCTAACTGGCAAAGGAGAGCTCTGCAGTGGCACTTACTGTTAAAGAATCAATATTCAGAGAAGCACTAGTCCTGAGACTCAGAGAGAACATTCGAGACTCTCTCCTCCTCCAGTAGCTTCTTAACTTTTTATAGATCACAGATCTCTTTGAAAATCAGCGGCCCCTTGTCTTTCTGTCCCCAAAAAGACATGCACGTATCTCAGCACATAATTTTCCCTATATTTTCAGGAGCTTTGTGGATCCATCATGTGACTGAATTTCCTGGCATTTCGGGGACTGCATATTAAAAATTCCTACTCTATATAAAAGCCCATTTGAGCTCTAATGTCCCAATTAGTAGTCTTTGAGTTGGGTAGCCCTGATGTCTGAAACACAGAAGTCATGTTGTGCCAACTGCAGGGCAGGTCACCGTTCCCTCCCTCTGGGAGCTAATTATCATCAGAAAGTGTAAAAACTCTGCTCGGTGGCCATGGACAGAGTCTCTAAAACCAATCACGTGACACATTTCATAGTTTTCAAAGATGACACTATGCTCAAAAATGACGTCGTGGGATCTGGTGGCACTTAAAGGGTTAAACCTCTAGGTTGTCAGGATTGCTGCTCGTTGTTGACATAGCAGTAGTGTTCATATGGATCTTCCATTTCATATATGTTCTCCTCGATGACATAGATGTTTTCCTGCGAGCGCATTCCTTCTGCTCCTGTGTTTGCTAACCCCAAGGGAGGGGGGCTGCCCAAAGTGAGGAGGCTGTGGAAAGAAATGTCGCAGTTGAGTTCAGCATCTCCTGGGTAGCACAGAATAGAGTTAAGAGGACAACCAAATGTAGTACATGATCCCCGATCAGGTCCTCACTAGGAGGAAAAGGCCATAAAACAGTAATAAAATAACATGTGTAATAATTAAGGAAATTTGAATTCATCTTCATTTCTTAAGTACAAAAATGGCAAGGTATTATACGGAGGGATGGACTGAAGTCTTGAGGTGAAGTGTGAAGATGCCTGAAATGTCCTTACAAATGGTTCAGGAAAAAACTGTGTATATAAACAGAGAAACAAACCAAGCACGTATGTCAAAATGTTAAATCACAAGTTTCATTGAAAGGTTCTATGGTGCCTTGTATGGTAACTTCAGTTCTTCTATGGGCTTGAATAATTTCAAAAAGAAAAAAAATATGAATATGTTATGGACCCAGTCAGACTTGAGTTGGAATTCTATCTCTGTCTCTTACCAGCCATAGGATCTTAGGCAAATTGGGTGGTTGGTTGTTTCTTTTTTCACTCACTCAATCAAGAAATATTTAGGATGTTAGACACTGTTCCAGGAAACAAGAAATGCTGCAGTGAACAATACACAAAAATCCCATGGAGGTGGTGTGTTAGTAAACTTTGTGTCTCAGTGTTGTCGTCTGTAAAATGGGAATAGTAAGCATTCTATTTCACAGGGCTGCCATAAGGAGCATTTATTCGCTCAGTCATCAGATAAAGTGCCTACTAAGCATCATGTTCTCTATCAAGAAGTAGAGATACTAATGTGGCAACAGTGCCCTAATTTTCTATGGAACTTATATATATAGATAGAGATGAATGTTAACCAGATAACTTTACCAAATAATTTCAACCAAATAATGAACTAATTCATGTAAATATTACCTATGTGTAGTATCACATTTCAAATTTCAGCTCTAATAACAAATCCTGGCACAGATAATCAAAAGCCAGTGATAATTAAATATTTTATTTGGCCTTATTTGACTTTATTACTATAGATTATCTGTCTTCATAAATATACTATCTCTACTTTCTCTAAAATTATTCATGGTCTAGATAGTATTCAATAGGCAGAGTCATTTTTTTTTTTTACACTTCATTCTACCCATGTACCAAAAGTCAGTACATTCTACTAGAAGTTATTTAAGCTTTATGTATTTGGCATGGAGGTGTGTGTATTACTATATGTATTCATATACATATAGTAAAAAATGGATACCAAGACTGCAATATAATAGACCAGTAGAGCTCAACCTTGTTTCCATGTTAGAATCACCTGGAAATTTTTTAGAAAAACACCTATGCTTAAGGTTCCATCCCCAAAGATTCTGATTTATTTGCTCTGGGGCTGGCAACAATATGTTCAATGCTCTAGATGATTCTAATAGGAACATAAGTTAAGAATGCCTGGGCTGATCTATAAAAGCCCAAGAGTAGATTCTGGGTTTCTCACTCACTTTTGTAACCCAGTGCCCAGCCCAGTGACTGAATGTAGCTCAATCATTGGAAGGGTCAATTCATTGAAAAAAAAATTATTATACAAAAAAGCATTTCCTATCAATAGCGAGATGAATTCTACACCTTAACTTTAGGCCATGAAGCTAGAGAAATCAAAAAGAAAAACAGAGCAGCATGTTTCATTAGTATTGCATTAATCCATGCCTAAGGTAAGAAAGAAGTCTAAGTTTAAATCCTAGGGCCGGACTTCTAAGAGCAAAGCCGTCTTAGAGTAGGGGCCTCCAACATTCCCACCTTCCCCTACACCACCCATTATTCTTACCTTGAGTTCTGTAACTTCTCTTTGCTATAAGAATACCCTAGGTAAAAAGTAGAAGAAAAGTCAATTAAAAATGTTCTCATGAAACAAAAGAGATAAGAAATAAAATGAACTCACTGGAGGCAGGGATTGTTTAGGGAAATCTGGTCTCCTTTTGGATTGAAATAAATCAAACTATCAATGTGTGTCTTGATTTATTACATGGACTATGTTAGTAAGTAATACAGATGCATTTCTTATGTTCAGCAAATATATGGAGCGTCTACTATGTGCCTGGTAGTATGCTAGGCACTGGGGATGCAAAAATGAATTGTGATCCCTGACTTCTTAAAAGTTGTGTTCTAGGGAGGGAGGCATTTAAATAATAATTTCAAATTGTGGAAGTAATAAGGCTCTAGAACAGATGACGGAGAACGTGGTCAGGAAAAAAACTCTCAGAAGAGGTGAACTTCAAGCTCAGTTCTGAACAAAGAGAATGTGTCAGCCAAGTGAAGAGCCAGGGGGAGAATTCAGGCAGAGAGAACCCCTGGTAAAGATGATGGTGGGTTCCTGAAACTGAAATAAGGGAGTGACCCAAGATAAGGTCTGAGAGGTAGGCTGGGGCTAGCTCCAAAGGACCTTTTACATCATAATCAAGATTTTGGAATTTCTTCTAAGACCTATTAGAAATAATTGGAGAGCAGAAATATGAGAGCTAATTGGGTTTTAAGATCACCCTAGCTGCTGTGTGAAGAGTAGATTAAAAGAGGCATAAAAAAATGGAGAAGCAAGCAGAGATCATAATGCCTCAGATCAGAGGAAGGTGGTGACCAAGAGAGGTGAGAATAATGAATGGATTTTACATGTATTTTGGAGAAAGTCTGCAGGAATTAAAATTGAATTTTGTGTTAAGAGAAAACAGGATTCAAGGATGGCCTCTGGCTTTCTGGCTTAAGCAACCAGATGGATGGTAGTGAAACACTATAATGGAGAAGATCAGAGAGGCAGAAGTTGTGTTCTGGGAAGGTGGAATATGGACTCTAGACCACCATTTTGGACATGTTAAATGTGGGAGACATCTAAGTGGAGGTATCAACTGTACAAACACTCTGACTTGGAGAGGGAAATTAAGAATGACATTTAAGCCTGTCGAAATATAGATCACCTAAAGGCTGTACAAGAAAGGGAAAGGGCCAGCCCTGAGGAGTATCAACATCTAAAGGTGAAGCAGAAAAAGAAATAACAAAAATGACTGAAAAGTATTGGCCAATGAAGTAGGAGAGTGGTGTTCTAGAAGCCCAGAGAAGGAAGACTTTCTAGAATGAGTAAAGGTCGATTTGGTTAAATATTGCTGAAAGATTATTGACAATGAAGACAGAAATGTCTACTAGATGATTCTAAAGAAAGGGGTAAAAGGAGGAATGAAGTCTTGGCTAAGGCAAAGAAGGAACAGGTCTTTGATACTTTATCAGTTGAGTGAGAAATGAAGGAGATTTGAGTAGTACTGAGGTATGGATGTTCATTGCAAAGAGAGCACTAGAAAGATACAGGATTGCTAGTTGTATTGTTGCCAATTAATGGCTTTGATATCCTGACTTAAACACCTGTCACCTTGGTTTTAAGATTTTCTCCAGCAACTTCTAGGGAAAAGATCACAAATCAAGCAAGACTTTTCCATCTGTTCTTCTAGGTAACCATGTCTTTGGAGTAATAAAGATGTGGGTAAAAAGTGTCAGACTTCCCCCAATGAGAAGAAACCTCACTTCAAACCTCTTTACACAGACTAGAATGGCCCCTAATATCCAGCCCATGGCAGAACTCAAAAAGGTAGTGAGTGCTATTACTGCTCTTTATCAACTTGTAGGCTTTACATCCTTGTGATCAATTCACGAACCCCCTTGCTACCTCTCAGTAAACTCAGGTAAGTGTGGATGGGGTAGCTTTTTTCTTTGAACAATCCATTTACCAATAATGGCAGAATAGCATAATGGTGAGGAACAGGAGAATCTTGTCTTCAGATTCCATATCTATCAATTAACCATATGACTTTGGATAGCACCCTAGTTCTCCATTTGGTAAATTAGAATAATACTAGTATCTTTGTCAGTAGAGTAATTATGAGAATTTAATATGCATAAAGCACTCAGCAGCTTTAAGCCACACAACTAGGGTGACCAATTCACCCTGATTTTCCAATCTCTGTCCCAGTTTTAGCACTGGAATCCCACATCCTAGGAACCCCATCATTTCCGGGCAAACCTGGGACAACTGGTCACCCACTATGCAGTCTGTGTTTAACTAGAGTAGGAAAGGCTGTTAGAATGTACTAAGCCATGGAGTATAAGGCCTTAGTCTCTGCCGTCAAAGAGAAGAGAATATATCATAATTACAACAGTGTGTGAAGCTTCTGGGGTGATTCCATTAGTTGGGTCTTAAAGGTCGTGATAGATTTCCATGTTGAAATTCATTAAGTTGGACATACTTTAAATATGCAGTTAGAGTATAATAAACCATAACTTAAGAAGATTTTTTAAATAAAAATAACTTAGATAACAATGTGTGTGTGAGTACTGTGAAGGAGCAAAACACAAATGTACAAATCCTGGCCCATGACCCATCGGTAACAGGACTTGCCACCTCTCCCTAAAGACCTATGCCTGAAGAACAAATAAGATAGGAAAATGCACAGAAAGAAATGAGTTTTGTTGTTGTGCTTCCTAATAAGCCTAATTCATGATTTAAAGAGGTTTTTGTTCTTAGCCAAAGGTAAGAGACTAGGTGCTAGAATCAGCCTGCTTGGGTTTGAATTCCAGCTTTGCCTCATAGGGATTTTGAAACGGTGGCAAAGTGACTTACTCTCTCGTAGCTATACTTCCTGCATGATAAAATGGTGATAAATACTACCTACTACATAAGATGGTGACGATAAAATGTAGGTAAAAACATTTAGCACAATGCCTGTGTATTACATGGTAAGCACTGAGTAAAAAATAGCTATTATTATTGGTAGGTTTGGGAGGACTATAGGGTGTTCAGTTTTATCACCTTCAGGTATAAGTATAAACTTATATTTCTATCTAGGTTTGTGTTGGTTCTTTTTTTAATTTTTATTTATTTATTTGAGAGAGAGAATGAGAGAGGGAGAGAGAGAGACAGAGCATGAGGGGGGGAGGGCCAGAGGGAGAAGCAGACTCCCCGCTGAGCAGGGAGCCCGATGCGGGACTCGATCCCAGGACTCCAGGATCATGACCTTAGCCGAAGGCAGACACTTAACCAATTGAGTCACCCAGACGCCCTGTTGGTTCCTTTTCTAACATCAGAGGGAGAAAGAAGCAACATCAACCAACTTACATGTGAGAATTAAAGCACCAGTGATAAGGAGGAGAGCCAGCCCAGCGGAGACCCCTGCTCCAATGTAGACTCCCATCCTGGTGGTCGCACCAGCGTCTTGTAACTCATTAGTCCACGTGGGTATTTGCTATGGAAACACAAAGAGAACTGCAGCAGATGGCTGGAAATCAGTTGTGTGCTCAGCCAGTCTCATGACTTGTGCATCAGAGTGTCCCTTTCATAGCACCACAGGAAGGTAGGGGCCTTGACACGACTCTGATCTGTCTCCTTGCAGACAGCCTCACACCCCCAAAGAAAGCGATGAGCATACTCTTCACAGTTAGTAAGGCAATAAAATGTGTCACTTCTATGCTGTTGCGGGCACAAGGAGCCCTAAGTAAATGGACTCCCCTCCCGTCCCAAATAAAAATGGGCTTTAGAGTGGTACTCCATTCATTCAAGGGCCCTGGTGTTCCAGAGAGTTTCAGAGCGGTCAAAACTTGGTGTCTTGCAGAGAAACCCCCATATTCACAGAAAGACGGTGATTTAAAAGCCAGGCCTTTACAGCCAGACAGTCTTGGGTTCAAATCCCAGCTCTGCCACCATCATATAGTGTCCTTGGAAAAATTAAGTGATGAGAAATATAAAATGCTCAGCACAGGGCCTTGTATACAATAAATGCTTAAGCAGTGGTTACTATTTATGGGTATCGCTCTGATCCACTGAATTATTTAACTGAGATTCAGAAAATTCTTTTGCTTCCAAAATTTTAGTCCATATTCCCACTTAAAAACGGTAATAGGGAACACGTTTAAAACAAAGAAGTCAAAGAAATTAAATCCTGCACTTATTCAATAAACATGTACTACAGGAGTGTTAATTGCAAGATACTGTACATTAAATACTATAGATATACAGAGGTACTTAGAGTCAGTCCTTGGTCACAGAGAGGGGCAAACACAGAGTACTGAGCCTTGGTTGTAAATACCTAAGTAGGAGACTTGGTCAAATGAAGGCAGACTCCTGGATATGTCCCCAAAGAATTTCTAAGTCACCACTATAAGCTTGCTATCTAGGGGATTTCCTTTTACTCTGAGAAGGTGGGAGACACTAAATTTGTGGTTAATTAAAATATTGATTTCTTTATAGGTGGATATAGAAATTCTTGGCTTACAATATTCCTGACTGCTGTCTTGTCATATAGTAATAAATTTAAATAATCTTTTTCACTGGAAAAAATTGCCATGGAAATGAGAAGAAATACACTCTAGGGAGATGGAGGGTCTTTGAACCCTCCACAGTGTCATACAGTTGTGAAATAGGAGAAGAGGGACAAGAGGGTAGTGCTTCCTCATTTTGGTTTTCCGGCACTTACTACCTGCCAAACACTTTACGTATATTCCCTTATTCCACCCTTGCAACAGGCCTATGCAGTTGGAACTGGTACCATCAGCCAAGGGCACTGAGGCTAAGGGAGATTAAGGCATTTTTTTTTCCCCAAGCAGAGAGCAAACAAGAAGGACTAAAGCTGAACTTTCTTTTCTCTGAGTTGAGCATGAAGTTAGCACACATATACACATGCACACACACACACACACACACACAGGCACACAAAGTCACTTACAGTGTGTTCTCCGTCATGGAGACCCTCCAGTGTCTGTGTCTCTGCCATAAAGAGAAAAAAAAAAAATAGCCAATAGAATTGTCAGGAATGTTTTCTTTTATCTGACTTTTTAAAAAATCCTAAAGACATCTTTAATCCTATTTGAAATTAAATCTACTCTATACTCTTCACAATAATTAATCATGAGACCAACAAAATTTTCTAAACACCTGCAAAACAATTTTAGGGTGACCAAATTTATTTTTAAGATTTTATTTATTTATTTGACACAGAGAGAAATCACAAGTAGGCAGAGAGGCAGGCAGAGGGAGAGGGGGAAGCAGGCTCCCCACTGAGTAGAGAGCCTGATGCGGGGCTCGATCCCAGGGACCCTGAGACCATGACTTGAGCCGAAGGCAGAGGCTTAACCCACTGAGGCACCCAGGCACCCCTAGGGTGACCAAATTTTTTTAACCATATAATGAACCCAACTATTTAGGTGCCATGACAAGGAGACCTCTGCCAGGAAGACCTCTGTTGAATATATGGTTTGTTGTATCCACAGGGCCCCAAAGAGGGCTGCAGAATTCCAACAACATTGATATCACTCAAGCAGGCATTAAATTTTAATTAGACTTTGAAAGATAACAGAAGTTAATTTTCTTGAAAAAGTTTAACATTTACTCATTAAGAGGGAGACAGGGTATTTGGTTGCCTAAAAATGAAAATAGTAATAACAATAGCTCTAATTTACCATGAACAGACATTGTGCTAAATTCTTTGAGCAAAGTATCTCATTTAGCATTCAAAACCGTTATCCTAAAGTGGGGACTATTAGCTCCATTACTTAGATGAAGAAGCTGAAAATTCAGAAGGGAACAGACTTACTCAGGGTAATGGAGCTTAGTGAGTAACAGAAATGGCCTTCCAGTTTAGGTCTGCATAGCTTCAAACAGACACTCCTATGCTGCCTTCAACAACCTTCACCTTGGCACGGTCACTTCTAAGTGAACACACTGCCCAGTTACCAGCTCACTTTTTTTTCCTCCTTACCCATTTACTTATTCATCTGTCTATCCATTCGAGGAACATGTCTACATCCCTATTCTATACCAGGCATGGAGTACAGAGCTGCCAACAGCCTGGGCACAGGCCCTGACCTCACAGATGCTGCCTTCTAAAAAAATCAATATAGAATGTCAGCTTTGGGGAACTTAAGGATGTCTGTTCATGTCTCTGGCTGAGTCAGAGGCTCTGAAACTTCTTAAATGTCATGGCCACTTTCTGGGAGACTGAAAGTCCAAGTCCTTTCATATAAAACCCCTGGTTTAATAAACCATGATTTTAATATTAAAATTTTAATACTCAGCCTGAATACATTTTTTTAAAAAAGGAAATAAAAGAGATTCTCTTCCACTTGCCTCTGCTCTTATTACTACCCAAAAGGAATTTAAAGTATAAAAACCACATTGGTGGAACTGCTAAGTAAACATGAATCTAACCACACACAAGATTTTCTAATGTAATTCCAGTTTCTGCTTCCCTGTAATTATTTCTCTTGCTCTAAATGGTAAGACTGACTTCTCCTTTTAAAAAAAAATTTCAATTTACTGTGAAAACAACCCAAGAGCACTCTGTTTTATTGACTATCACAGCTTAATTTCATATAGATAACCATCAACCAAGGTGAGTAGGACAGTTAAAAAAAATCTGCATTAGTTTTCCTAGAGAAACCAAGACTTGGCTGCTTTGAGGGCAGAATGAGATCGTCTCAGAAGCATATAAATCTATGGTTACCATCTAGCACGTATTACCTGCCACACATGGTGCTTAGCACTTTATTCACATATCTTTCAATCTTCACCACAATATAGAAGTACTGTTATTTTTCCACATTTCAAATGAAGAACCTGAGTCTCAGAGAGGTACCTGGCATAAGATCACACAACCAGTAATTGGCAAATCTGAGATTCAAACCAAGTCAACCTCCAGAGCTGAGGACTCACCATGACCTTGTTCCACCTCCTTCAGGTGGAAGAGACACGACAATGTTTTGTGTTCAAAGTATGTTTAGCAGCTTCTAAGACCCTTAGAATCTTTACTTATTAAGGCTCCACTCCACTTAATAGCAAACATATTCAATGTACCCACATTCCACATTAAAAGAAAAGGTATGTATACCTACACCAAGTTGACTTGCAAGGGGAGACCCCATTGTTGTTGCCCTAGAGGAAAGGAACTAACAGGTAAAAATTAAAGAGAAAAGGACTTGTTTATGATATAGACAACCCTGAGGAAATTCACTGGCTCAGGAGGAAGGTGTGTGGGCATACAGTGAATGTCCACTTGGCAGTGACACTGTAAAGAACATTGGAGCCCTGGATAGGAACATGGGCATCAATAAATATTGACTTGGGTTAATTACAGGGAAGCAAAACCTGGGTTTACATTAGAAAATCTTGCGTGTGGCTAAGATTCATGTTTACTTAGCAGTTCCATCAATGTGGCTTTTAAATTCCTTTTTAAAGGAATTTTTAAAATCCACTTTAAATTCCTTTTGGGATGACGGTTGTCATCTTGTCCTGCCATATTTAATGTTCTCCCTCTCATAAGAGATGTTGGCTACCAATCACTAAAGAACCACCAAAGATTAAACCAGTAGAGAGCTGAAGTTAATACTTATAATAATAACTAATATTCGAGTGTTTTCTGTGAGCCAGGTACGACACTGAGCATTTTGCATACATTGTCACACTCAATTTTTACAACAATCTTGGGCAATAGGTCCTGAGAAAACCCCCAAAGTAGAGGTAAGAAAATTGAGCCTCACAGATTTCGAGCAATTTTACTTCACACACACAAAGCTAGTATGAAGGGCTGGTAGCGGAGCCCTGTCACTGAGGTACTTAACCACAACCTCATTCTGCCTCCAGATCTTACTGGCAACATTAAAGACAATGACTGAGTACATACTGTGATCAAATACTGGGCTAACCACTTGAGACACCCTTTCTTAGTTAAATCTCACAAGGTGGGACTTAGGAGATTTCTGAGATTAAAATATGGGACCTACCTGTTATTACCCTTATCTTACTGAATGGAAGACTGAGCTCCAGAGAGTATAAGAACCAGAAATTTGACAGGAGACATTTAAGATTAATCTCCCTGCTCAGTGAAACCCTCAGTCTGCTCTTTTGACCCTATCTTCTCTACCAGGGCAGCTTGAAGAAGTCCTTGCTGAATTACTGAAAGAGTTTAGCTACTCTTTCCAAGGCTGGAATCGAAAGAAGAGGATGGGCTTCATTCTAGTTAGAAGAGATCCTTGAAATCCCCAAATCCAACCTCAAACACAAACTGGAGCCAGTTCATGCCAAAATATCCCAGTCTGGGAGTCAGTTGGAAAATAAAGGCAACATAATGAGTTTTTCATTAGACTAAATGTATTTAATTTAAAAGCACGTCTTTTTTTAATGCAATAATGGCATTAGTAGAATTTTTTTTTCTTATTTGGAAAAATATGTAGATCACCAGAATTTTGTTTTTGGAGGGGGAGGGAGTTTTACTAGGTCACAAAAGTTAAAGTCTCCAAACCCTCTCCTTGGACAGAACAAGAAGCGGAGATGCAGGGAAGTGAAAGTTTTCAGCCAGGGTCACAGAGGTACTTGTGACTAATTCTGAAGCCTAGCTCAGGGCTCCTCTTTCCCAGTACAGGTTTGTCCCCACCTCCCCTCTCCCCACACACAACATCTCACTCAGGTCCACAAGGACGTTCACGCCTCCACTTAAACCCTTTTCTCGTCTCTTTCTCATACTCAAAATCCTCTGAAAATACCCGAAGGCTTCGTGCTACGCCTCCGGTATCATTACCTGCACCACGTCCCTTGGTAGTGAGCATCCGTGGAAAGGCTGCGGTGAAGTCTGTCCATGGAGTCCGAGCAGAGGTGACCTTGGCTAATATCAGAAACCAACATAAGGATGCAGCCCTTCTGAGAGCAGAGAGCTTGTGGCAGGGAATCAAAGGGGCAGCAGAAAAAATACGAAATGCAACAAATAAAGAGAAGCACATGGCCAACTGCCAAACCTACCTGACACCTTCCTTGAGCGTGTACGACACTCCTGAGGTGTCAGGCAGAGGAGTGTTACAGTCATCACTGCCACAGTCTAATCATTAATGACGGAACTAGCAGCCACCCAAATGGCCACACTAAATGTTTTTCACAAAACACCTCGTAAAATCCTCCCAGGGGGCTGTGTGGCAGGAATTACCATATTTCATAGAGGAAGAGTTCACAGAGTTTAAATAACTTGCCCAAGATGGCAGATAGTTAAGAGGCAAAGTTGGATTTGAACTCTGCTCCATCAGCCACACACTATATGCTCTATAAATCTTCAAACACATGAGCACATGTACCCGACATGTACACCGTCTGACGGTTCTCGATCCTGGCTGCACGGTGAGGGGCAGAATCATTGAAGGCAGACTTTGTAAAATCCTAGTGCTCAGGACTCTGCCTCCAGAGATGCTGATTTCTGTGGTTCATGGGGGGTGGGGCGGACCAAGGAGCTCTGTAGGTCTTAAAAAGCTTTCCAGGTGATTCCAATGAGCTATCAGGCTCTTGAACCACCGATCTTGACCTTTCCTCCCATTTTATAGATCCTGTCCATGAGTTTTAAAATAGATGAAGGGAGTTAAAAGTGGCTGGGCATTGCTGGTGCAGTCTGCTAAACTTTAGGTCTTAGGGACAGACAGACAGGCGGGGCTGTAACTGAGGAGATCAGAAGGGCGACCAATCAGTATATTTAATATTACCTGCAGGTGATTTTATTCAAGAAGGCATGGAAAGGTCTACTCACCAGGTTTGATGACCAACTCCAGGTTTAATTTTTTATCATTCATTGGGCCTGGGAACTGGATCCGGCAGCAATAAATCCCACTGTCAGCTAGAGTCACGTTCTCTATAGTCAAGGACACATCTCCTTTGTGGATACTCCTCTTCAGCTGGTATCTGTTGGATGTCTGATATTTCAAGTTCCTTCCGTCTGTGCTGAGCACCATACTATGACATTCGAACACTGGACAGGATCCCCTGCCCCAGCAGACAGGCACAGGATCCTCAGAAGGGGTGGGAGTATAGGTGCAGGGCAGATCAGCATTCTGACCCACTTCAGCTATGTATACCCCTTCCAAAGACCCTGAATCAAGAGGGAAAGAGAGCAAGACCCAAGCAATGAGTGAGTGAGGTTGGTCCATTTCAAGAAAAGTGCAAGTAATGCCTTATAGAATTAAAAGGAAACCAGTGCAACTGTCCCATTTGGAGGATGATTCATTATGACAATGATTCTCAGACTTGAGGAGCATCAGAATCACAGGGAAGACTTATTAAAACACAGATGGGTGGGCTCAACTTCTAGAGTTCTTGACTCAATAAGTCTGGGTTGGGGTATACGAATTTGAATTTCCAGCAAGTTCCCAGGAGCTGTTGAGATGGCTGGTCTCAGAAATTCACTTGGATAACCAGTGCCCTAAGAGAGAATTGTGGTCCAGTCCTGTGAACACTGGAGGGCAAGGCTGATGGAAATAGACAATCAGACAATGAGTCACTGTCAGCCAGGAGAACAGCTCCCCTGTCTGGGCTAGTGGGCTGCTCATGGATGAAAGGCAATTAACTTGATATAAATATCTCTCTCTCTCTTTTTTTAGTTTTTAAAAACTTTATTTATTTATTTGAGAGGGAGAGAGAGAGCACAGCAGGGGGAGTGGCAGGCAGAGAGAGAGGGAGAAACAGGCTCCCCACTGAGCAGGAAGCCCGATGTGGGGCTCCATCCCAGGACCCTGACCCTGAGATCATGACCTGAGCAGAAGGCAGATGCTTAACCAACTGAGTCACCCAGGCGCCCCTCGCTCTCTCTTTTTAAGCCCTCAGCACATGATGAATAACAACCATTGGCTGAATAAGAAGCTTGTATGTTTGAAACAATTCACAGGCTATCGTGAGGTTTAAAATTAATCGCCTTTGCATATATATTAACAAATATATATATATAGTAAAACATTTGAACAGTATAAAAGGTATATGAGAAGTATACTCCCTCTCCTTGCTCCTTCCCGTTTTCCAGTTCCCCTTCCCAGACTCCATACGTTAAGAAGCAATCACATATTCCTACTCCCTGCACCATACATACACAAAGAGAAGGCTGATATACACGTCCTTCTGCACCTTCTTCTTTCATCTGACATTTGGACTTAGAGACATTCCATATCGCTGTGTGTCATCGGCCTCCCTATTTGCAGCGTAGATCACAGCTCATCTACCTGCTCCCCCGCTGGTGGACACTGAGGTTCCTTCCAAACTTGCTGTTGCAAACATTGCGATGACCATCCCTGCATCTTTATCGTGTAGCATCCAATTGTGAAAGCCCGTGGCCGGACTTACCTGTGAGTAGCAGCAGCCACAGCAGGACACAGTCGAAGGAAGGAGGTGAAACCATGGATTCTGAAGAATACAAGTCAAATAATGGCTCTGTTTTGCTTTAACTTTAATTCTCCAGTGGGACTGGAGAATTAAAGAAATAGAATCTCCTCCACAATGACAGGAGCAGAACTCACTGTCCCCAACGGCTGGCCCAGCACACCATAGCATCTGACTACCAGTCTTCACTCTGTTATTGTTGCCAAGTCCACAGTTACAACAAAGGAAACTCCAGTTCTCTGTCCTGCTACACCACAGACATCCTGTCAGTCTTTGGTATTTACCCCTTAGTATCAACGAAGAGGAAGCGACACTCGGAGGAAGCAAAGCGTCTCTCAGCCAAGAGAACTCTTAGCAAGTAGAGAGAGGCTTCAAGCATCTCCAGTGAAATAATCCCCTGTGTGAAACGGGTGGTGTGTGGGTCCAGCTGGTTACCAGGGGATGCAAGGTAGGAACACAGCATCTGTGCGTTCAGTCCGATCAGGCAGTTGGTTGGTCACGTGACCAATGTTAGTGAAGCACCTGCTGTGTGTCGGGAACTGGACAGGGAGCTGGACAATGCCACGATGAGCCACATCTTCCTTATCCTTTCCACTCCATTCCAGAGCTTAATGCTTAGCCTTGCTCTAACACAAATTGGGTTGTGTCTAACACAAATTGTGCTGGATCTCGGTTCCTTTGTTTACAAAGTGAGGAAATTGTGTTCGGTGACATAGGCACAGCTCCCTGCTCTAATATTCTGACCTGGAACTTCCAAACCCTTCCACTTAGGAAAGACACATTCCTTTCTGCAGTGTTTCTTTTCCCCCACCATGGTGTGGGGGTGGGGCTCAATATTTGATTTCATTTCACATACACAAGATGTCCCCTTGCCTCCCACCCCAGGGGCTTCGGGAATGAATTGTCAGAAAGTGTGGCATTCCAGCCACACTCTCCATCTCAGAGGTAACTTCTCAGACCCCAACAGTCTGAGCTCTGGAAGTGTGACCTTTGTCTGGGAAACTTAAAAGCCAATGGTTCTTTACAAAAGTGAGCCCACAAACTGAATAGTTTCTGCAAACCCTGTGGCCCTCCTCTGTCTTTTCTTGCTGAATTTTCTTGTCACTCATCTTTGTGCACTAAATGCATTTAATATAAATATCCAACTTATCCTATGTGTATTCTTCCCCAGCAACAGTAGCCGTTCCTGAAGAGATCAGAGTCAGATTTCGTCATCCCCTGGGTGGGGAAACTGAGACTAAGGTTGATTTGCCCAAGGGCACATGATTGGTAATTTCAGGTGAGAACTGAGTCCCCCAAGCTCCAGATTTTTTCCACTATAAACTGTTTTATGAATTTCACATTTGCCCATAATAGGTCTGCCCATGTAACTCACAACAACCAGCAAATGTCCATATTCAAGAGGAAGGCAGAATGAATTAAACATGGCATCAGAGGTCATGTTTACTACATAACCCCAGGCAACACTCTTAAAAGTTTCAGCCTTCAGAGTCTGTGTTCTCTTTTTTTGTTTTGTTTTGTTTTTATTGTTATTACTCTGTTTTCTGTCCATCTCTAGAGTTACTACTGGAACCAGCTTTATAAAATATTAACAATTTATTAATTCACTGAAGTCTAGACATAAAGGAGCCTAGAAATTTACTCTAAACCCTTTCTCTTTTTTTTTTCTGTGTATAGGGAGCTGTTTCTGAGCATTTTCATGTTTATTTAACTTTTATTTGTTTCTTTAAAAAATACTGGTTAGATAATTCATCCTAATGGCTAAAATTCAAAGCAATATCAAAGCTTTATGAAGAAGCCTTGTTCCCACCTCCACCCCAAGTCTACCAATTTCCCCCACCCACCCTGTAGGTCTCTGTTTTCCTAAGTCTCTTGTGTATACTCCCAATGCAAACACAAGAAAAACATATACATATCCTTATTCCCTCCTTTCTTAGACAGATTGCATACATGTGTTGCACCTTACATTTTCTATTTACTGTTTTATATAAAAAAACTTTTTGGACATACACAAAAGCAGAGAGAAAAGTATGAGTTCCCAAAACACAGATTCAAAATTATCAACTTCTATTTTAAAATGAATCCTAGACATCCTGTTATTTCACCCTTGCAGACTTCGGTATGCATTTTGGGTTTTGAAAGTCGACATTCTGGGGGCACCTGGGTGGCTCAGTCGGTTAGGCATCTCCCTTCAGCTCAGGTCATGATCCCGGGGTCCTGGGATTGAGCCCCGTTGTGCTCCCTGCTCAGCGGGGAGCCAGCTTTTCCCTCTCCCTCTGCTTGTACTCTCTGGTTCTCGCTCTCTCTCTGGCAAATAAATAAATAAAATCTTAAAAAAAAAAAAAAGTGGAAATTCTGCTGCATAACCACAATACCATGGTCACACATGACCAAATTAATGATGTCTTAGCACCTAATTCTTCAGTCCATAATCCAATGTCCCCTGATTATCTCAAAAATACCTTTTTACCCTACATTTGTTTATATGCCGATCCACACAAGGTCCCTACATTGCATTCAGTTTTCTGTCTCTTTAGTATCTTCATCTAAAACAATCTTCCTTCCAACCTCCCACCTCTCGCCATCGACGGGTTGTACAAACCAGTTCTTCTGCAGAACGTTCCACATTCTGTGGGGTCATTTAAATTATTCCTCTTTTCTGTGTGCAGCCTATAAACAAAACTTGGCTCCAGAGCTTTGGTTAGATTCAGTGTGACTTTTTGGCAAGAGTACTTCACAGTGGGGGCTGCGAGCATCAGATCCCATCACAATCATCTGCTTGCTCTACATGCAGGGGACTAACACTGATCAGCTTGCATCTTTCTAAACTCAACTCTCCGTTCCAAAGATCTCTCCATTCCAGCTTGTGTAGAACTTGTGTAGAACAATACCACTGTACATATTAAGTCTGTGGTTTTGCTTTTCTCCTTCAACTCAGAAAAATCTCAAGCTCCTTAAAGATAGCCTCCAAGCCCCAAATGAAAACATTAGGATTATGTGTAATTAGAATTCACAGCGATAGATAACTGAAGGGCTACTAGACAAAATTTATAAAATGAAAGTTAGGGAATTTGACCCAGGTCAGGTGCCAGGAGAACATGAGTGAGACAGATGGGATTATCTGGGAAAACTCAGTCCAATTCGAGTCTACTTTGTACAATGGGGGAGCTGCTGAAGAATGGGTATCAGAGAGATGACTTCATAAGGAATCCTATGTATACTTGTTTTGAATCAAAAGCCCTCTCTTATTTAAACCACAATACTTCAATTTCCGTCTCGTATCAGTCCCAAAATTTTGCAAAAGGAGGCACTAAGTTTGGATATTAAGGGTAAGAAGTTAAGCAATTTTGAGCTTGGTCTACTGACTTCCAGACTGCATCTAGCCCTATGACTTCCCTTTAAAAGTGCTTGTACAGATTAAGCCAGTCAGAGAAAGACAAATACCATATGATTTCATTCATGCAGAAGTCAAGAAACAAAACAAATGCGCATCGGGAAAAAAGCACGAGAAAGACAAACCAAGAAACAGCCTCTTAACTATAGAGAACAAACTCATGGCTACCAGAGGGGCTGTGGCCGGGGAATGGGTGAAATAGGTGATGGGGATGAGGGAGGGGACCTGTCATGATGAGCACCTGGTGACGGATGGAGGTGCTGAGTCACTCTGTTGACACCTGAAACTAATTTTACACTGGACAGTAACTGAAATTTAAATAAAAACTTTAAAAATAAATAAATAAATAAAAGTGCTTATAGGCGTGTGTGTCTGTACAGTACTTGAAAACTTTTTTTATTATATAAGTCATACCCACTGTAGAAAATTCTGGAAAAAAAAAGAAAGAAGAATATAAATTAAAAAAATGCCATAATCTCAGTAGCACAAAACACCTACTGTCAACATCCTGGAAAGAACGTCTCACATCATGGACACAGGAGGATCAAGGAGAAAGTACAAAGCATATCCATCTATTTCCTATTAAACTGCCTGTCGGTTCAAAGACTCCACTTCAGATCGAAGTCCTTTTGTTTTTATTTTACACTCATTTTTGTGGTCTCAGAGCGCTCATTTGCCTCAGGTCGCTTTCGGCATTGCCTTCCCCACCAGGCCCTGGCACTGAGAGGGCGACTTCAGAAGAGAGACCCTGGGCAGACCCGAAGGGACTTCCAGGTCTTCGGAATGATGATTCATTGACAAGACAACTCAATTTCTCCTTGCTGTGGACCACCTCTCCTGGCTAGATCTCAGTGTTTTTCTTATACCAATAAACCTTTGCCACATCAGTCTTCAGGTTGTAGCTCAGAGAAAACCCAACTTCAAACTAGCTCAAACTATAAAGCAATTTATTGACTAACGTTATTTAAAAGATCAGCTGCAGGCAGACTTGACTCAGTGGCCCCAGTGAGGTCACTGGGGACCTGGTTTGTGGCTGTCTCCAGTTCCTCAGAGTCTCCACAGTGTCCCCCCACTCTAGCTGCAGAGCAAACGGCCGCCTACCAAGCACCTTTCTCAGTTGCTCTCACACCCTGTCCAGTGATTCACATTCCCTCAAAAGCCCACCTGGGGTCACAGACTCATTGCTAAACTATCTGGATCCCCAGGCTCAACAGGGACTCATTGGGTTGAGTCTGAGCCATATTCCCAAAGCCTGTGTTCCAAAGTCAAAGAAGGCGATTCTGCCCAAGAAAAAGTGTGGTGCAGTTCAAGAGATGCCCTCCCCGAAAGGGATGGGAGGGAGAGATGGGAAAAGAAAACCTGACCTTCCAAATAGCATGGTTCTTTTCCTTACAAAAAAAAAAAAAAAAAAAGGCATTTTACTAATAAAGTGCTTTTTAGCTTGCAAGGATGTGCTCTTCACAACACTGGGGAGATGATGAAGAGCTTTTGTGTGTATGTATAGACGGCTTTTATTTTTAGTAACTAGTGATGAATGCCAGCAGGATTAAGCTTCAGGTCACTCTCAAACTAGCGCAAGAGACAGTCAGAGCCCTCTCCAGGGCTCTTTGCACAGTGTAGAAAACAGCAGCCCGGCAAGGAAAAGTCAGCATTCTGGGAAATCGCAGTATTTGCCAGCAAGTAACTAACTCCTAAGGGAAGTTAATGGTGCCCCTGCCCACCATAACCAGTCCACTTCAGAGGAAAGGGAAGTGGGGAGGGCTGTAAAATTATTTACCCTCAATTACTCAGCGAGGCTCCCAGTGACGAAACTGAAAAATGAAAAGGAGTCTACCATCAAGAAAATTCCGTTGAACTATGTATGAGTCACTGCGGGAACGCCTACCCGCAGTCCCATCTTGAAAATGCAGGGGCCATGACTCCCGACAGAGACCACACTGGTGTGGGGAGCTGTGTGAGCGGTCACCCATCCTGGGCATGTTTTGCAATGGGGCACCTCTTCTTTCTTTTGTTGGCTTATTAGTCTTTTACTCTCGGGTCAGATAGTGAAGATGATCATACTCCTCAGTTCAAGGCACGGAGTCCTCATCAATCTGGTGAGCTCTCTTTCTTCTTTTCTTTTCTTTTATTATTTCCCCCCCTTGTCCCCTGACCTACAGTTTCATTTTTCTCTCTTCATAGGCATCCACTTTACACGAATGTGGTGGAGCCGTTTTCCAAAGCACTTATGCCAGCTGACATTCTCACAGCCAGAGAGGAGAACACTTAGGATGCGCCACGACTTTGCCAGTAACAGTCCCGCCAGACTTTTGAATTTTTTCCCAAGATGATGGGTGCACGATGATGTCACAATACGGCTTAAGGTTAAACTGATGTCTGGTGGGAAACATAAGAGATGCACAAAACATTGCACGTACAAATTTATAGGGTACGAATATTTATAAAGTAAGCACTCAGGTAACCAGGACCCACCCCCCCCAAAAAAGTAAAATATTGCCAGTCTCCTGAAGTTCTGCTGACATGCACTCCAAACCCATGGGTCCCTTCTTGGTCACAAAACCTTCGTCCTCTCCTACAAATTATCACTATTCTAAATTTTGCAATAATCCTTCATCCTTTTTATGGTTTTCCTCTTGTGTATGCGTTCCAAAATTATAGGTATAGTTTTGTTTTTGAACATCGTATGAATGACATATCATCTGTAAGCTTTTGTGTTTTGTTTCTTTCACTCAACAGTACCTTCGTGAGGTTCATTCATGCTGTTGTGTATTCCTGTAGGTTGTTTGTTTTCATTATTGAATATTTTTCTGGGAACAGATATGCCTTAAATTATTTATTCATTATATTATAGATAAACACTTCACCTTCTGTTTCAGTTATCATGAACAATGACCCCCTGGCCATTCTTGCACACAAACGCTGGTGCACAAGTATAGAACCTTCTCTGGAGTACACTTCTGAGAGTGAAATTACTGAGAGGGGATATACATTTTGAAACATATTAGATAACGCCTGTTTCCCAAAACATCTACCAGCAGTGTGTAAGAATTTCTCCTACTCCACGTCCTCATCAACATTCAGTATTACCACATTTTTTTTTTTTTTCCAAACTGGTAAAGGATAGGATAGCATCTCCCTGTGTCTTTAATTTGCATTTTCCTCTTTACTAGCAAGGTTAATAAATACTTTTTCTTTTGTTTATGAACAATTTAGAACTGGGGAGCACTAAGAGGACAAATGCTTATTTTACCCATTTTTCTGTTGGGATTCTCAATTTTTTATCATAAATTGATGTTTTCATATAAATTATGAGAAATTTACATATTTTGGATACTAGTCCTCTACTGATTTAATATGCTGTAAATACAGTATTTTTGTCCCACTTTGTGGAGTAAATTTGACCTCTTCACAATACTGAGTGTTCCGATCCATAAACATGTTTTAATCTCTTATATCTAGATTTTCTTCAATATCCCTTAATAAAATGTTTAAATTTTCCCCATAGAGATCTTCAACTTATGCCTTGACTTTTTCCTGGGTACTCCATATTATTGATGCTGTTTTATATGTATCTTTTTTTATTAGTTTTTATATTGTTTTTGGTATTCTGAAATGTACCTTTTTTTTTTAAGATTGATTGATTGATTTGATAGACAGAGATCGCAAGTAGGCAGAGAAGCAGGCAGGGAAAGCAGGATCCCTGCTGAGCAGAGAGCCTGATGTGGGCTCAATCTCCAGACCCTGGGATCATGACCTGAGCTGAAGGCAGAGGCTTTAACCCACTGAACCACCCAGACACTCCTGAAATGTACTCTACTTTTGAATGGTGATTTTTTTTTTCCCCTCCAACCAGTAAACTCTCTTAATAAATTATCTGTAGATTATATTGAGTTTTCTATGTAGACAGTCATATTTCCTGCAAATAGTGACAGCTTAGTTTCTTTGTTTTCAATCCTACATTTTTTTCCCCCTTATCATACTGGAGGAAAAATCTAGTTCCTTTTTCACAGAAATCTTGATAGGAGGCATCCTGTTTCATTCCAGCTCTAAAAGAAAAGTTTTCAGCTTCCACCCTGAGTATGTATTATGTTGTCGGTTTTATGGAGCTTCTGTTTATTACATTAAGAAAGTTCTCGGGGCACCTGGGTGGCTCAGTGGGTTAAGCCTCTGCCTTCGGCTCAGGTCATGGTCTCAGGGTCCTGGGATGGAGCCCCGAATTGGGCTCTCTGCTCAGCAGGGAGCCTGCTTCTCCCCTCTCTCTCTGCCTGCCTCTCTGCCTACTTGTGATCTCTCTCTGTGTCAAATAAATAAATAAATAAAATTTAAAAAAAAAAAAGTTCTCTTCTGTTCCTAAATATCTAAGAAACTTTTTTTCTTTTTTCATGACTGGATACTAAATTTTATAAATGCCTTTTGTTCATCTGTTCAGATGATCAAGTGATTTTTCTTTCAGTCTACTATTGTTGTCACTATACTAATTTTTTTAAATTTTTTATTGTTATGTTAGTCACCATATAGTACATCATTAGTTTTTGATGTAGTGTTCAATGATCCATTGTTTGCATATAACACCCAGTGCTCTGTGCAATACGTGCCCTCCTTAATACATTAATTTTTTATTCTGCATTCCTAAAATAAACGGATTGGTCATAAAACATTACCTTTTATTTTTACATATTCCTGGGTTGAATATACTAGTATTTTATTTATGCTAGCCTCATAAAAAAGAGAATGTTCCCTCTTTATCTATTTTCTGAAAGAGTCTACATAAAATAAATTTGTTTATCTTTTTCTTTTTCTTTTTTCAGGCAATGTCTGCTAGAACTTGCCAGCAAAGCTATTTGAACTTAAAATTTTCTTTGTGAGGAGATTTTGACTACTGGTATGTTTAAAAAAAAAAAAATCATTAGAAAACTATTAAAGTTTTCTATTCTTAAACCGATATTAATAATTTTATAAGAATTTGTACACTTCATCTAATTTTTCACATTTATTGTTATAAAGTTTTCCATAACATTTTCTTATTTCATACTGTCTATAAAATCTATAGGAATGTCCCATTTTCATTTCTGCTATTATTTGTGCCTTCCCTTCCCCCCCCCTTTTTTTTTTTCTCTCTCTTATAAGTAGCCTATCCATGTAAGAACCCCAGGTAACCCCTCGGCCCTTCCAGATCAAGTATTTCTGCACAGATGATTAGCAAGCCTGAGACCTGAGTATGTTGCCTGGGAACAAATGATTTTCAGAAAGAGTTAGAATGCATCTGCTCTTTCATTCTCAAAATCAACAGTACCTACCCTTTGAAATGGGTATGAGAATTACCATAGTTAAAGAAATTGAGTTTCAATTGGCTAAACAGCCAATAAACAGTGGAGCCCCAATTCTACCATGCCTTGCTCTTTCTCTCTTCTTCTTTCTTTTCTTATAAACCTGAGTTTTAATTCTGCCATTTGCTAGCTGAAGTGTCCTTGGTGTATAGCAAGTTACATTCTTGGTCTCAATTTCTTCATCCATGAAATCATTTTTTTTTCCAGTTTGAATATACATAGACACAAATTAAGAACCCAGCCTACAAACTTGCTTTGATCATATCTAGAATATCTTTCCATGTCAGTATTTTTATTTTGAATAGCTAACGGTTGGTTGGTATCCATAGCAGATCTTCATGTTTGTTGAATGCATGAATGAATGAATAAATGAATGGGAAAAATCAGTAAAGACCCAAAAGACATCTTTCCTTGTAGTTGATACAATGCATTCCTGGTCAGCCCAGCCATACCACACCATCTGACTCCCATCCTTTGAATATCTTCCCTTACTCCAAATCAGAGTGGGGGCAGGGAACCAGCAGCTTCACAAACCTTCTCTTGTGTGTTAAGCAAATGAGAGAAGAATCTACCATCATTCACTCAGTACTAACCAATAGTTCGAGGCCTTCCCCAGGTCTTGTCCAGGAGAGAAAGGCTCTGATCAAAAGACTTGTGTCCACAACATAATATTAAGTATTTTGAAAAAGTCATACCCTGTTCTCTCCATGAGAAAAGATTTTGTAGGCCAGAGGCACAGGCAACAAGTCTCACTTGTTGAATAGAACAAGCCAGTATCATAAGCAGCACCTAAGTTTCTCCAGCCTACTTCATGCCTGCAGCTTCTAAACTTGAGATAAGAGTGCCACTTACTGTTAGAGTCATCACACTGCAATATGAAAACCGTTCCTAAATCTCTTGAGTCTAAATGCCAAATGAAGACAAAGGACTTATCAGGAAAGATACAATTGACCTTTGATAGCTTATACTAAATACCAAAATTTAAGTGCCTTATAGCCATAACCTCTTTTAGGCCTTACAACAATCCTGTAATTTTTATTTCTGTGGTTATTACTGGTTTTGTGAGCACACTCCAGGGTTTTGAATCCAACCACCTAGATCATAGCCTATGAGCCTATGAGCTGCCTGTTTTTGTACAGTCCACAAGCGACTATTTAAGTGGTTGGGAAAAATCAAAAGAATATTTCACAACATGAAAATTATTTAAATCAAGTTTCCATGTCTATAAAGTGGTGTTGGAACATAGCCACACTGCCACACTCATTTGCTTAGACATTCTTTGGCTGCATTTGTACCATAGTATATAGTTCAATACTTGAGACAGAGACCTTAATATAGTCCTCAACGCCTAAAATATTTACTAACCTGCTCTTTACAGAAAAATTTGCCAACTCCTGACCTAGATTCTAATTTGGATATACCTGGGAAAGCCACAAAACTGATCCTGTTTCATAACGTGGAAGAACACCTACCAAGAGCAGTTTTTGAGGAACTGCAGGTCTCTCCTTAAGATACCTGCAGAAGTCGGACATAAATGCCCTAACATGTTCAAAGGAAGCTCATCATTTTCGTCTACAAATCTGCTCCTCCCTTAGCCCAATATTGTGTAGTGTCTTGAGTATGGACTTTAGGGTCAAAATATGGGATCCCAGTCTAGTCTCCATTATGACTTATTAATTATATGATGAAGTACAAATGTGCTCAAGTATAGAAGTTGAGTGCTTAGGCTTTGAAACTAGGTTTCAATCCCAGCTCTGCCTCTCACTAGCTTGGTGACCTTGGGTAAATTACATAACATCTCTGAACCTCTGCTTCCTTATGTGTCATATAGATGTAAAAAGTCATACTGATTTCATTGAGAAGCTGTGAGGAAAAAACAAATTTATGTATATAAAGTAATTACAACAGCGCTAGCAAAGCTCTCTGTGTATTTGCCATTGATTTCCCATCTTAGAATAAAGCAAACTTCTTCCCTTGACCTTCTAATGCTTATAATCTGCCCTCCATCTGCTTCTCTAGCTCCAAACTCTTCCCTATGTTGCAGCCATTAATAGCCTTTCTCACCCAACTCAAGCTTTTATTTCCTCACAAGACACTGGTACTTGCTATCTCCAGTGGCCTCAGAACCTAGCACAGGACTTTTCTTTGAAATAAAGCCTAGCACAGATGAGGCTCCCTTCTAAAGCCCTTAACAAATGTGTACATGTAAACATAACTTGAAAAAAGATAATATGGACAAGGAATTTTGATCAGGCAATAGTAGTAAAATTAGAAGCAAGATTCTTCTGAGTGTTGTAATGGCTGGATAGTTAAAACACAAACTTAGACCTTCAAAAACCAATTCATTTGTTTTCTTGTTTATCTTTCTTCCATTTTCCTCCACACTCTCCATTTCCCTGGTAACTAGACCAGTGTCAGGCGGAAGACCGCACTTTTCACTAAATGAATACAATTAATAAGTGAATAGTGATGGTGGGGAGTTTGGGAATATAAATATGCACAATCTGCTTATTTTTATCAAAAATTTGTATGTGCTCAATTTCTAGTGGATATCTACAACATGACCAACTCAGCACCTCCTTTCCTGAGAAATTAACTACCTTCTCCCATACATGGACATTTGGGGGACTGCCAAATTCTTACAGGATTCAGGCCCCAACTGATAGGCCCAGCTGGAATCTGAAATACCACCCCTAATTCCCCCTCTGGCCTGGTTAATAATTAGTCTTCCTTTTTTCTGACAGTGGTGCACAAAGACTTAACATGAGAACTGCTAGCAGCCATGTTCTCCATCCATTCACAATAAGGCTGGTTTGTAAAGAGAATGGAGCTAACAGAAAGAAAACAGGAGAAACAGTGAAGAGATCTGAATTGAGTTTGAATCTCACTTGCCCTGGAAATCCTCCCAGTTCTCTTCATAGTTTGTTCAATTTATCCTTCAATCATGCAACATGGTTATTTTTTTAAAAAAATTGGTCTTTTTCCTTCACCTAGGTTGAGTAGAGTGTACTAATATTTTTTTTCTAAGATTTTTATTTATTTATTTGACAGACAGAGATCACAAGCAGGCAGAGGCAGGCAGAGAGAGAAGGAAGCAGGCTCCCCGCTGAGCAGAGAGCCCAATTCGGGGCTCGATCCCAGGACCCTGGGATCATGACCCAAGTCGAAGGCAGAGGCTTTAACCCACTGAGCCACCCAGGCGGCCCTGTACTAATATTTCTTTAACACACTGCACAGTCAGGCCATCTAGAGATTTCTTAAAACCAGTGCCAAAGCCCCATCCATAACAATGAAATCAAAATCTCTGTAGTCTGGGAATCAGTAATTTCAAGAGGTGCCAGGCTATTCCAGAGATTTCACTTTGAGGAATCAGCCTATCAGGAATATTCACTGTAACTAAGTAGGCAGAGATGTATTTGATCCTCACAAGATCAAAAAACTAACTTTTAAACTTTTAACAACTATCACACCACTAGCGTTCCCAAATCTCATTCTAATTACAGTTCACATTAGAACTCTCACTTAGTTTTGGGCAAGTGCCACCCAGGACCTCCAAGATTATATCCTCCAAAAGTCAGAATTTAAGATTCCTCGTGGAATTTTGACCCCTAATCCTCCCTACATATACACACTCTTATACAAACTATATTGTGACTCTTAGAACGTTACCTGTTTTTTCCAGAATTGCAAAGCAGCCAAAAATTGGTTTAGTACCTCCTAGCCCAACACCCTCAAAGTTATAAAATGGTTAAGGCCATAGGAAAGAGACTTCTTTGGAGAGTTGTTCAAGTGTTATGCAACATCCAGCTGCTCCCCCACAAGCATATGAGGGCTCCTCTCCCCCTTCAATTTAATCTCGAGAGCCTGGACTGTGTCCCTAGTGTCCCAAAATCTGTATTAAACATATAAAGGAAAATAAAAAATTGGCCAACTAGCTGCCCAATAGAGAGGCATCTACTTGGCAACAGACTACACTCCTGAGATTTAAGAAAAGGATGCAGGAATGTTTCACATACAGAATAGGCCTGTGGCCACATTAAACTGAACTTTGCCAGCTCTAAGACTAGAAACCTCAATAGAGCAAATCCCTGAAGGGTGGTATACCAAGAACTGGGTTAAGAATTAAAAGTAGGTATCTGGAAAAGATACTATATCAGTGATGCACCCATATTCATTGCTAAGAACTTAGTTCCATGGCTGAATGCAGACCCAAGAGGAGTGAAAAAACGTAGACCCTGGCAGCCACATCTCAGGGGAACAAGCATCTCCAGTACACAATCCAACGGTCTGTTACCAGTTCCCTTCCCATTGCAGGCTTCCAGCCTTAGCGAGTCCGAGTATAGCTTCGAAGGAAATGTATAGCTAATTACATAGACATTTTACTAAAATGAATGTAACAAAAAGTAATCAAAAGATTTATTATCTGAGTGACTGGAAAAAAGTTAATAGACCTATCCAGGGTAGGAACAAGAAGCTGAGATAGTGTATTTACAGAAGCAGTCAAGAGGAAAAATAAAATTGCTGTTTTATAACTCTATGGGGTTCCTCTCTTTTAACATGTTATACTACATTTTTAGAGATCAAGTAAGTTTTTAAGTAAAGTAAATCTGAAGATTTTATAATTTCACATTTATACACCTTGATATCCTTTATTTATCTATCATTCTTAAAGCAAATGACAAATCTAGTTTTCAAAGATGAAAGCTTGCTATTACTGAGATCTTCAATGTTTTCTGCAACTCCAAATCCAGGAATGTTCCACACAATCGCAGAACTTTCCTTCTTAAGGTGATTACTCATAATGTATACATATAGAATCATTTGCCTATGCTTGCCACTTACAGACGGTAACGCCTCCTAAATGATGAAGCAGGAGTCAAGCCGTTCACATGACTTCTAGTTATATCTCTTTAAGACTCTCCAAAAGCAAAATAATGAATATATGACATTTACTGAAAAGAAAAGGAGAAAAGCAAAAAAAAAAAAAAAAAAAAAAAGAAAGAAAGAAAGAAATATCCTTCATGGTCTTTCATTCATTTCATCAATTAGGACACACAGGGCAGCATCTTTCTCTATAATCTGGTCTCTCCTATGACCTGAATTTTCTCTTTGCTGTTCATTCTGTCCAGTACAATTGTTGCTATCATCAGCATCCATTGGTTCAGTTTTTACTCTCATCCCTGCTTCTGAATGAGGCAGATCATCAGGCAAAGAAGCCAGGCAATTCTGAATCATCTCAATGACTCGCTCCAGATGCTTCTGAAACCGCTCAGCTGTTTCAAGGCGTTGACGTTTCTGCACCTCCATCATGACTCTCAATGTCTCTCTTGCTTGGTGGGGTCGGTATTCATTTATGAGATGATGCACATGTACAAAAAGCAGCTTAAGATCTTCCAGTTTCTCTTCTCGTTTTATACTCCCAGGGCTCCTTATCAAGATATCTAAGAGATCTAAGAAATTAATAAGAATAGACATATTGAGTTTTCTCAGTTCCTTCTTGTGATCAAACTGCATAGGATGAAGCCGTTCGATGCCCTGGCTTTCTAAAGGGCGGATGATAAGATCATCACATTGGAACTGATTGCCAAACATCATATAACTGTCTTTTATTGGAGGTGGAGGCTTGGGAGCTAGGCCTTCCTGAATATTTTCATCTGTATATTCCTTGATGTACTGCATTGGAGGTGGTGGAAGAGCACTCACTTGTTGCGGCTCACCCATAGCGGAAGACCAAGAACCTGTGGAAATAAAACAAAGATTTAGAGTACAGCTACAACACAAACCTGTCATCTTGGGTGACTACAGACAGTATTTTCCTTTTTTTCCCCCCTGGCAAGTTTGGGGCCCAAGACAAAATGATCTTAGTTTCTAAAACAACATGGAAAGGCTGCCATCTTTTTCTAATTAGCATTATATTGCTAAACATCCAACGACTTCTCCTTCTCTGCTTAAGACTTTCATTGACACACAAAAACATTTTAGTAGTATATTTTTATCTATAAATAAAATCTGGATCCCATATCCCTCACCAGTTATGTCATTTCTTTATCAACACACTTCCCTTCTGCCTTGGCTTCTGTGAGCCTCCACTTAGGTTCTCTTCCTACTTCACTGGCCACTCCCTTTCAATCTTCTCTACCACCACTCCTCTACCTAAATTTTAATGCTGACCTGTCTCAGAGGGTTGCTCTGAGGCCCTCTCCTCACTCTAAATTAGGGAATCACAAACTCAAGTGCCAAGGGGAAAACACTGAAGCACTCTGGGGCAGGGATTCATATGAATTAAGCACATGCAAGCCAAATCTCAAAGCCTTCAGCCATTAGCATTCAGGTGAGAAAGAAGACTCATTGTTCCTCAGTTTCTTGATTTCTTAAAAGGCAGCAAAAACCCATATTTTATGCAGAATCTCTCAGTTTTTACTTTTTTTTTTTTTTTTTTTTTTTTGGTCAGAGAGAGTGAGCACAGGCAGACAGAGTGGCAGGCAGAGAGAGAAGCAGGCTTCCTGCTGAGCAAGGAGCCCAATGTGGGACTCGATCCCAGGACACTGGGATCACGACCCGAGCCGAAGGCAGCCGCTTAACCAACTGAGCCACTCAGGCGTCCCAGAATCTCTCAGTTTTTAAATACTGGTAATTAATTCCAGAAATCATCAAGTTCTGTAGGTTCAAAAGAACTTATCTACAACAATCTGTGGTCTGTGAGCCAATAATTTTAGAGCTCTGCTTTTTATTTTCCCTTGGGTGGTATCAGTCAATTCCATGGCTTTTATAAAACACCACTTCTACCAGCGTTCTCAACAAACAGCAATTTTGACCACCAGGAGATAAACGGCAAGGTCTGGAGATATTTTTACTTGTCACAACTGGGCGATGGAGTGCTACTGGCATCTAATGGATAGAGGCTAGGGTTGCTGCTAAGCACTAACAATGCCTATGACAGCTCCCAACAAAGAATTATCCAGCCCTAAATGTCAACAAAATATTGTGCCAAAGTGGAGAAACCCTGTTTCTACCTCCAATCCAGACTGCCTGAACTCCTTCTGGATGGCTCATAAAGCCTTCAGACCGCGCCTCCCCCCAAAAAGCATTACCTCCTCTCCTCCCTACCATCACGAATCTATCAAGTCCTGTTGATTCCACACCTTCACTATCTCAAGTTCATCAATTCTGACCAGGCCACCATTTCTTCTCCAGGAATATAATCGTTTCCCCAGGGATCTTTTTGCTTCCATTACTGTTCCTCCACGTAATAGCCAGCATAATTGTTTTCAACCCTCATTCCTTCTCTTTCATTGTATCCTAGCAGTACTGTCTTTAATATAGTATTTCTACACTATTTTATAACTATACCAATTTCTTCTGGCCTGGAGTCTTTCCATATGCTTTTTTCTCTGCTTCAGGCAGTAGCTTAAAATGTCACCTCTAAAGAAATAACTTAGTGGAATAGTAATCAAAAACAGATCCTACTTTTCTTCTTTTATCCTCTGAAGCAGTATTTGATTTCTCTCCCTGACCAGTAAGTGCCATGGGGGAAGAACTCTTATCATAGTTCTATGTCCACAACGTTGCACACAGAAGCTTCATAAATATTTGTTGAGCAACTTCATTCATTTCAGGAGGGGTCCAAATCAGTGGAATTTGGAAACAGGTACAAACTTACTTAATGTGTATTCCCTCTTTTGACTGTTTATCATTTGTCTTCTAATACAGGACAATGAGTATCCAGGGATGATGACTTTGACAACAGATAATATCTGTGTACATACTGTGTGCCAGACAGTTTACTTTTCTCAGGGCTGTGAGAAAAACTGCTCTTTCCACTTTGGAGATGAGACAATTGAGGCTCAGAAAGGTTGAACCACTTGCATAAAGTCACAGGTTAAGGAGTAAAGGATCTAGGGCCTAAAGATCTCAAACACTACACTATACTATCTTTCAAGGATAAACAATAAAAACACTCCCACCATCCTAGTGTTGCTTACAACCTATCAAGGAAAACATACAAAAAATAACTGCCAAGTTTTGAGGCTAATACAAAAGACAAACAGATCTAATTATCAAAAATAAGTCTAAAAATTACATGTAGGAAAATGTTATCACAAGCAAAATTAAAACACAGTCCCATTCTTCTGGGAAAGGAAAATGCTTGCAAGCTAACCAAGAGCGAATACTAGAAATTTTATTTTGATTTTTTAAAAACATTTTCTGACTCCATCCCCACTGGAAGGAAAGCACTAGGACTTCAGGAACTGCCTGTCTTGTACATAACTCCACCTCTAACATCTCAACACCTAGAAGATCCTCAATAAAGACCCCGTGGATGAGTTTTGTTTTTGTTTTTTTATCTCTATTTTTTAAAACCTAGAAAAACAAACAAAAGAGGACAAGGAAAATGCATATGCTGAATAAAGCCAGGAAAATATTCAGACTAATACATTTCGAAAAGCAAATTACTAAAAACGATGCTTTTCATCTAACAGACTATCAAGATTTCAAATATTCCATCATTCAACAAATATTAGAACACCTTCCATGTGACAGGCACTGGATTCCAGCAGAGGTCACACTATCCTTTTGATGTGGTTCTTTTGGAATGTTTTTGGTCAGGTTTGATGGTGTCCAGAGCCGATCGATGGCCAAGAAAGAATTCTTGAGACGTCTTTGGTGCAAAAAGGTGGGGGACAGAATCCATGGACAGAAAGAGCTGGACTGGAGTCCTGAGGAGTGGTCCATTAAATACTTTCAAGTTGGGAGGGAGTTAGGGATAGGGTAAGCCTCCCAGGAAACAAGGTTTCCAGGACCCTGAGGAGGCTAGCTATTATTAGGAAAGGTCATTTATCACCGGTTAGTAAAAACTCAGTCAAGAGACCCTTCACATGTACATCAGTGGGTCATATACTTGGGGGATGACTGCTAACATATATCTGGGGGATAGAGACAAAGGAGGTTTCCAATAGAATTTTTATATGTTAAAGTAGACTCACAGGATCCTGGGCTAAGATAACCAGCTGCCCTTAGCAAAATATTAACATTAAGGCAGCTGAGTTCCTAGAGGAATGTCACTCTGCCTGTTTCAAGGGCCTAGTCAGCAGGCTGTAGGTAGCAAGGAAGTGTAATGATTTTTTTTCTTTGTTTCCCACAGCGCTCATACCAATATTTTTTATAGGAAAATTTCTAGAAGTAGAATTGCTGGCTCGAAAATATAAGCATTTAAACTTCTGATACTGCCAAATTAAATTCCAAATATATATTTGTTTCCTTTCCTGTCAGTTGTGTGTGAGAATTCTCCCATAATGTCTTGGGTTTGACCTGCCCAGTACCCAAGAGTGTTGTGGGGTGGCTGCAATGATGGCTTCTGTGAGAACTGAGGTGAGTGGCGTCTTTGCACCCCAACTGGTTTCCCTACAGGGCCAGAACAGCTAAGAGCCTGATTCTAAAACTGGGATGACATTCCCAAAGAAGAAAATGAGAGAAAGTGATGTGGGGAACAAAGGAGGAATGCAGATAAAATTAAATCTTATAATCTGCAGCCCATCCGCAAATACTTGAGATAGGCAGATTATAACACTCCTCCAGCAGCTTCCAGTGCGTCTTTAACATATGAAAGTCCTTTTGGAACTTCCCTTTATTTCTCCCAATCCCAAGGTATAAACCCACTTGCTCCACGTAATCCTGGGTCAGCAGGCAGCAGCAGCCACAGCTTCAGATCCTAACCTCTTTCCTACATCAGAAGTACATAAAAATGTGCATTAGGGGTGTTTAATGCAGCGATGTTTGAAAAGAGAAGAAGTCGGAAATAATCCATGACTTCATCAATATGACTGCGTAAAATATTTCTATATGACACAATGCAGCCCTTAAGGAAAAAAATTGGTAAAACTTCATGGGGGCAGGGTTAAAAACACTGTGTCCTGATTACAACACAGGGTAGCAGCAAACAGTGACAATCAACTTTCTAACATAAATTCAGAGTTACAGAAAGTTGAATGAAAAGTATAAAGAACATTCCATATTCTTCACCCAGATCTCAAAATGTTAACATTTTCCCTCACTTGCCTTAGTGGTCTCCCTCAAATAAGAATGTTCCCTTACTACCAAAATCATGGAATTAGCGCTGATCTGGTATTTCAAAAGCAATTTTAGACAGCCCAAGTTTCACCTCACTCAGGCATCTTTCAGTTGGGGGGTCCTGTTTCGTGCTTCCCAACACCAGGGGCACTCCTCTCTTCAAGCTGCCATTTTCCAAGGGCCAACTCCGTCGCAGGTACATTTTAAATCCTCTGTCTTCCTACAAAGTCTATAAATTAAGTCCTACTGTCAACTTCATTTACAGAGGAAGCTCCCCAGTCTCAATGAGGGGAAGCGTTTGGCACCAGATCAAAAGGCTAGTAAAGGGGCACCGGGGGGGCTCAGTGGGTTAAAGCCTCTGCCTTCGGCTCAGGTCATGATCTCAGGGTCCTGGGATCGAACCCCGCACTGGGCTCTCTGCTCAGCGGGGAGCCTGCTTCCCTTCCTCTCTTTCTGCCTGCCTCTCTACCTGCTTGTCACCTCTGTCAAATAAATAAATAAAATCTTAAAAAGAAAAAAAAAAGGCTAGTAAAAAGCACGGCAAGAATTCTTTTCCCTGTCCTTTTCGTTACTCAGTACAAGCTCTAAGTCAGCGAAGTACAGGAACTTGACATACCACAGAAGTTATGTGTGTATCTGCATCGCTTCTCTCGAATGAACTTTTCAGAGGCAAGGTCTTTCGTAAAGCCAGCGCCAAGCGTTACAGTGGGTTATCCGACTCAAGATTCACCTTCCACGGTGCATGTTTTAAGCTAGACGCTTAACCAAAAAAGGACGGGGTTCCAGGGTCCCGCCCCCAGACATGTGATTGGTTTCATTTACGGTGAATGCGGTCGCTGGAAAGCGGCTTTTAAAAACTCTCCAAATGAAGTGACCAGGAGGCTTGGGGTCGGCCGGCCTCCTCCACGCCCCACTAAGTCAGCCGATTTCAGGATCGCCGCCTGAGGAGGGAGGGCGGGGATGGTCACTGTCAGTTGACAGAGGCCGGAGGCTAAAGGACTAGCCAACTCCGCGCAGCTTAGCAAACCAGCGGCGCGCAGGACTAGAACTCGGGTCTCCCAACCGGCGGTCTGGCTCGGCCTCCGCACACAGAGAAAGCCCCGAGCTTGCCGCGTCGAAGACACCTTCCACCCGGCTCCCCACGAGCAGCAGCGAGGCGGCAACCTCGGAGGGACGCGGGAGAGGAAAGTCAGAGAGCATACGCCCCGCGCCAGACCTACCCCATTCCCAGCCCGCCCTGAGGAAGGCGCGGGGTGCGGGAGGAGAGATGCACGCGGAACGAAGCCCAAAGTCGTCGCCGCCCACTCACCTCAGCTCAGGGTTTACACTGGAGCCGCCTTCGCCTCCGCAACCGAAATCCGACTTCCGGCCGCCTCCTACAGGAAGAAGCCCCTGACGCTGTCTTTTGATTGGCTTAAAGAGCTGTCTTTTAGCCGAGGTTCTAGGCCCGCCTCTAGCTAATAGCTTGCTATTGCGCCTGTGCATTTCTACCCCGATTTGGGCGGTTTTGTTGCCTGCGGGATTGGAGATGGAGGCGTATGTGTTAGTATTTTATATCAGTAAAATTAGCAGTTGGTAAGCTTCACTCCTTATTTTTCTTGTTTTTTAACGCCTAGAATTAAACATTGCATCCATATGCCTTACATGCAAGTTAGAAAATACAGATAAACAGATCATTTTTAATTATAGCTGCTCTAATCCCACTGTCAAAAATAAAATTACATTAATTTTTAATCTGGAAATATTTGTGAACATGACTGGGAATCAGTAACGTTCTCAGTTTCCATTTCTTTGCTATATATTCATATTTAATTTATTTAGAAATTGAAACATGTCTAATTATATTTCCAGGTAACAGATTAACAAATATAAAAATGTATTTTTTTCAGAGGTAATTTTCATAAGTCACAAACTTATAAATTCCTGGGAATCTTACAAGAGCATATTGGACATAAAAAATAAGGTTGTTATTCTGATAAAAGTTTTCAACTTTACCTCTTTAAGATTATTTGAATTTCATTTTTTACAAAATTATGGGGTTCCAAGTATATACAAAAGTAGAACTGTACTCATCCACCTTCAATGAGTATCTACCCATTAGAACTAAACATTATTTCAACATGTGTCTCTGAAATAGGGCTCTTCATTTCCCCCCCATAAACACAGAAACATTATTTCGTTTAAAATTAAATTAGTAACTATTTAAAAATCATGAAAATCAGGGGTTCCTGGGTGGCTCAGTCAGCTAAGCGTCTGACTCTTGATTTTGGCTCAGATCATGATGTCCGAGTCATGAGATCACTCTGTGCTCAGCTTGGAATCTGCCTGAGATTGTCTCTCCCTCTGCGCCTCCCCCTACCATCCCTCTCTAAGGGGGGAAAAAAAATAATCGAAGTCAAGTGATTATTTGGATACCATTTGTTTCAGGATTCAATAAGCCTTTGTGACTGGCTGATATGTCTTTCAATTACCTTTTAACCTAAAGGTTCTGCTAAGTAATAAAAATTTAACCCAGTAAATTTGAAAGATCTAATTGGCTTTATTAATCTATTCATGAATGGGGCAGAATCCCATCTTGTAGGTAAAGGTGAGCTCTAAGGATGTGTACCAAATGGGAAGTTTTTATAGAAAGCAGGGTGGAGCAAAGAAGTTATTAGCAAAAGAAACTTTTGTCTCACACAAGGTCTACTCCCTTAAGGGGAAGAGCAGGGACTTTATTATGAAGATAACCTCATCTTCCTTTGGGAGTGAGGGGCAATGGCCCATGCCATAGATTACCTCATTTTGTGCTGACCACAAAATTCCAGATTGATTGGTTTAAAATTTCACTTGTTGACAAACCATGAGAGACTCTGGACTCCAGGAAACAAACTGAGGTTTACAGAAGGGAGGAACGTTGGGGAGTGGGGGATGGGGTAACTGGGTGATGGGCATTAAAGAGGGCCCATGTTGTGTGATGAGCACTGGGTGTTACACACAACTAATGAGTTGTTGAACACTACATCAAAAACTAATGATGTACTACTATATGTTGGCTAACTGAACATTAAAAAGTAAAATAAATAAATAAATAAATAAAATTCCACTCCTTGGGGCACCTGGGTGCCTTTGGCTCAACTCATGATCTCCGGGTCCTGGGATGGAGCACCACACTGGACTCTGTGCTCAGCCAGGAACCTGACTCTCCCTCTCCCTCTGCTACTCCCCCTGCTTGTGTTCTCTTGGTCTTTGTCAAAAAAATAAATAAAAATCTTTACAAAAAATTCAGATCACAAACTCAAAAAAAAATTTTTTTTTCAAAAAAATTAAAGGTTAAAAAAATAATAACAAAATTCCACTCCTGGAAAAGTTGAAACTCCAATCAAGTCTTAGATTGCTATCCTGTGGGCAAGTGACTCCACCTTGGACCTGGATGGTTTTCTTTTCTTTTTTTCTTTTTCCATTTTTTTTTAAAGATTTTATTTATTTACTTGACAGAGATCACAAACAGGCAGAGAGGCAGGCAGAGAGAGAGGGAGAAGCAGGCTCCCCGCTGAGCAGAGAGCCCGGTGTGGGGCTCAATCCCAGAACCCCGAGACCATGACCTAAGCCAAAAACCAAGAGTCAGGTGCTTAATCCCTTTGTGGTTTTCTTTTTAATAGCCTTCTCCATCTCAGTTCTCCCCTCCCCTCATACCAATGTATTTGTTGAAGAAATCCATTCACTTGCAAGTGTACCCCATTCAGAGTCTTCTTCCCAAATAAGACCAGTGCTTTTTTCAGGGTTTTAGGATTCTTGTCTCACAGATTCAAAGAATGAATGGACAAAAAAAAGAGTGAAATGAAAATTTATTAAGCGAAGGTGAGAACAGAAAGGAAAGAAAAAAGCTCTCTAGAGTAAAAGGGGTCTCGAATGGGTTGCCACTGTGGCCTTTTACTGGCAGTCTTTTATTGAGAACTGACCAGGAAGACGGTGGCCTTGAATATCTTGTGTGGTCTTGGTTTAAGCAAGGACTGTTGATAATATCCTTAATGGCTTACTTCTTTGAGGTCTGGTCAGTTTCTGTGATTACAATGTAGCTGCCAGGGGAAGAAAAAAAAAAAAAAAGTACTCTCTAACATTCAGGGCCAGGCAGTCTGATTTGTTCCCTTTCTCTCTGGTTTTGTATGCCTCGGCGTTTCTCCACATGTGGGATTTCTGTGAGCCTGGTCATGTAGGCCCTGTGGGAGCCACCTCAGTGGGGTCAGGGGCCTCCTATCTTTCCTGCCTGGATCTTAACCCTCTCCTTATTCAATGTGACCCACCCCAGGCCCTCCCATGGTCATTCTTAGTCCTCATTTTACTCCAAGCTCAGCCACATTTGGCATGTTTGATCCTTTGAATTGTCCCAGGACTCATCAGGTGGGATCTCATCAGGTGATAATAACCAGGTGATATCCAGGCCCTGGCAACACACTCTCCTTTGTCCTCAGGCCCCCACCCAACACTATCACACATCTTTACTCAATGGCACTTCACTCAATTGCAAAGACTCAGATCTAAAGATGTTTTGCTCTTTTTTTCTCTGATACTACCATACCTGCCTGTTGTATTACTTTTATTTAGAATAAGTAAAAGTCCCAAGCATAACCAATTTTCACCATTCCTACTGCTATGGTCCTAGTCCATGCCATAGGACTGGAAACCGGACTTCTGAAATAGACTTCTAAATGGTCTCCTTGCTCCTACTTTTGTCCTCCCCTAGCCTATTTATCACAGTCTTATAATAGAAGATTATCTTTATTCAGAATTCTCCAAGGTTTTCTATCATACTTACAATAAAAATCTAATATCCTCACAATGGCCTATATAAGGCCTTAAAAAACCCAGTCCTTGGCTGCTTCCCCAATATAATTTCCCACCATTTTTTTCCATGCTCACTCTTCTCCAGGCCTTATTTCTTTCCCTCAAAATTGCCACCATAACTCTTGCCTCAGGGGCATTGTATTTGCCTGGACCTCTCTTCCACAGATGTTGACATGCCTCACTTTCTCAGTTCATTCCAGTCTCTGATCAAATGTGATCAAATAAGGTCTTTCCTGGTCACTATATAAAATAGTAGTTTCCCTAATCATTCTCCTGGGGGATGCCCCAGTCCCTTTACAATGCAGTATCCTTTCTCCATAGAACTTATATGTGATATCATATTATGAAGTGATATCATAGTATGTGATATCATATTATGAAGTATTTTTATTTATTTTTATTATTTTTCTTACCCATCAAAATACAGGGTTCATGAGGGTAGGGACTTTGTTTCATTCACTGCTACATTCTCAGCACCTAGAACTGGGGGCTGAAATTGGCAGGTACTCAATGGACATTTATTGTATAAGTAACAAAATGAATTCAATCACATTTTCAAATGAATTTGCAATGTGACATTGAAGGATAAATCAGTCTATTTAGCCAAAGCCCCATTGTGTGAAATTATATTCCTCTAAATTTTTGCTATTATGAATATACTGGATGAACATCTTGGTGCATATCTGTTTATACATAATATCCATTTTTTTTCCTTGAGATAAAATCCTGGAACGTGAGTTTCTGGACCTATAGGTTCAGTGTCTTTTGGGTAATAGCAGGATCAAGGTTAGAATCTAGAACTCTTAACTCTCAGTCTCATGTTCTTTACAATAAACTACAAATAAATAATGGTATGAAATTCATATTGTGAAAGAGGCTAGTGAAAATATAGCATGTAATAAATATTTATTTGTGTGGCTATATTTTTAGAATATGAGTGGAAAGTTTACTCCTTAAAGATGCCTCCTATAGCTTGCAAAGGAATATGTCCATGAAACAAATTGTCTACTGTGCCCAGCACTGTTCTAGAAGGTAAAAAAGACAAAGCCTTGCCTTCTAATGGAGAGACATAGACAACAACATGGAAACAAGTAAGAATTTCAGATAGTGATAGGGATATGGAGGGAAAAGATAACATAAAATAATGTGATAATTATGTGGTTTGGGGGTAGCTACTTTATTGAGGATGATCAGGGAAACCTCTCCCCCAGGTGACTTTGGAGATAGGACATGAACAAGGAGACAACCATGCAAAGACCTGGAAGACAGCAAGTGCAAAGAGCCCAAGACTGCCATGATCTTCCCAAGTTAAAGAGACGGAGGGGGCCTACGTGCTCTCTAACAATTGAGCGAAGAAGAGTGGTAGATGAAGAGCAGAAATAGGCGGGGTCTGTGGTAACTGGAGTCTTACCTCAGCACATGATAAAAGACATCAGTATTTATCATTTGAGCCTAAATGGTAGCAGAAATATTTTTTAAGATTAGTTTATTGAGGAATAATTTACATAAAATAAAATTAACTTCAGGTTAATTTCAGTTCAATCAGTTTGATGAATACATACTGTCCTAGAACAACCACCTCC